GGTCGTAACCCGAAAAGTTCGTTAACAGAGGCGTTCGTAACCCGAGGTACCACTGTATTGAGACAGTGATCTAAATAGGAAGCGATATCTTAAGTCACTGTCTTCCCCTATTCAGTTTCCAAGGGTAACAACTTTGAAGGCTGCATCTCTGTGGCATTATTCTCTCTTACCCTGCCAACCAGAATACAGGTAGTCCTTGCTTACTGATCACTCATTCAGTGACTGTTCGAAGTTGTGATGGAGCTGAACAAATGGTTCTTACAATCGGTCCTCGAAGTTCTGGCTATCTCACCACCCCCGCAGTCACATGATTGCAATTCGAGCACTTGGCAGCCGGCTCACACTTACAACAGTTGCAGCACTCTTTGGTCATGTGATCATCATTTGCCACCTTCCCTGCTGGCTTCCCACAAGCAAAGTTAATGGGGAAGCCAGTAGGGAAGGTTGCAAGTCACTCTGGTAAGTTCCCCTGGCCTCCCTGCATTTGTGCGGCGCCACAGCCTCCTTCCCTTGACCTCCCTGTATTCACGCTGACCCACAGCCTCCTTTCCCTGGCCTCCCTGCACTTGTGTGGCACTGCACCCTGCTTCTCTCAGCCTCCCTGCTCTTGCACACAGCCTGCATCAGGCCTCCCCCACCTCCCACCCATGGCATCCTCGCACTCCTTACTTGGGACTTTTGCCACTTCCCACTTAATGACCTATGTGTCTTGGGGTTATGGTGGCAACCGGAATTTCCAAGATTGTCATCACTAAGCGATGTGGTCATGTGATGTCATGCTTTACAACTGCATTCCTCAGTGATGGCAGTCCCGGTCCCAATTGCCGTCGTAACCTGAGGACTACTTGTAATGTACTGATCCTGGGACCAGTTCAACAACAGCGTATAGTACATTCTTAGAACTATATCACTTCAATTGCGGGGGGGGGGGCATTGTAGTAATCTCTTCAAAGGTTTCTCTATATGTAATCTTGCATCAAAAAGCTACCACTTGAACAGGAAAGGCTCTAGCAAAGCCTTTTCTCTTGCATGAAGGCATTTGTAGTGTGGCCAGGATTGGCCCATTGGCCTGCTATGGTGCTTCTCAACCCCCTTCCCCAGATGTGCTGCCCTCTCTGCATTTCCTTTGGCAAGCTGTCTTTATTCCCCATATCCTTCATTCCCTCTCCCCCACCTTTGCAATAAGATTGCATGGGGCGGGCAGAAGATTAGCAGTTTCCCTCTGCATCGTACAGGCTGAGCGAGTTCTGGGGGCAACTGTTGGAATCTTGATAGTTAATTAGAAAAAAGGAAGATCTTTAGCAGCAAGACCAGAGTTGAACTGATTTGGCATCATCTAATGGGACAGATGGTAGGGGGCTTTCATCCCCGCTAAGCAGAAGGCAGGCTACTTTATCTATTTTAAATAAAAACGGTTTCCTCCCTTAAGGAGGGATGCCTCCTAGCATCTGAGTAGGCTAATTTTTAATGGCTTTATTTCAACAATTAGATTATTTACAAGGCTGGGAGAGGGTTGGAATTACTATTGTTTTTTGTTTACTTACACCGTTTCTGCCCATTTTCTTGCTTTCTGGTCTTTTTAGGCTGGAGCCAAACAAGCTGCTCAGTCTGAAGAGGCTACAAAAAAAGCGAAAGGGAAGAACAATCAGCCAGCCAAGGTAAGCATTCAAGAAGCCCGAATGCCCAGTTTTGATGGTTGTGCAGAAGATACATGAGATTCCATTACTGTTCTGTCTGCTGAGTGCTGCCTTTTTCAGAGAGCTCAGATCTGCTGTTTCAGATTGTGGAACTGGTGTCTCCCTCTTCGATAAGTCACGGGGGGTCCCTCAAAGGGGGTTCAGAGCCTTGGCATGCAACTGTCAGTCAAGGTGGGCAAGATTGTTAATAGTGCCAGCTTAATCAGGAATGTTGACTAAAGAAGCAACTGGTTGAGGATTTATTGTTCTGTTATTTCATAGAATCATGGAATCCAAGGGTTGGAAGGGACCTCAGAGGTCTTCTAGATCCAACCCCACTTGAGACAAATTACTGTCCAGCGTTTGCATGAAACCTCCATTGACGGAATATTTCTTTGCCTTGCTCTTAGGATCGTAGGAGCAGTTTAGGCAATCTGTGTTTGTTTGCTTTTGTCTTCAAGTCAGACATGACTCCTGGTACCCCATGGATAAGTCCATGCAGTTTTCTAGACAATGTTTTCTTCCGGACTTGAGAGAGAGTGACTGTCTCAGGGTCACCCAGCTGGCTTCCATGCCTGAGGCAAGACTAGAACTTGGGTTTCTCTGCTTCTGATCCAACAACTTGACCACTAGACCAAGCTGGCTTTCAGTCTAAATAACAGTATCTTCCATATGTAACCCTTCTATGCAACCTCTATTGGTCTCTATGAAGTGATATGTGGATCTGCTGGAAGTGAACACATGATAAACATTTTCCAAGCACATAATGTATTCTTTTCTTGATGTTGGCTTCTTCATCGTTGCAGAATATGTTTGCTGCTCTAGAGGCAGAGGAAACAGATGATGAAGAGGACGGGGAAGAGGATAGTGGAGAGGAGGACTTCACTGAGGACAAAGAGAAATCCAAACAGGGCAGCCAGCCGGTAAGGATCCAGTTCTCTCTGGTGGTGTATGAATCCTTTGGTTAATATACCTTCCTCTGTGCTGCCCCTTCTTACATATGATGGGGTAAGGTAGGAAGCCAGGTAAGTCAGGAAGAAGAGCAGGCCTCAGGAACCTGACCTCCTGCAAGGTACTTCAGATGTTTGAATGCTCTGGAGCTGATTTCACTGCTCTCATTCTCCACCCGTGTCAGTCATTAACTGGAAAAAATTAAAACTAAAATACCCATATAGGATCATGGGAGGAGTGGGGTTTTTTATTAAGAAATGAAATGGTTTTTATAAGCCTCTGCTCTTTAAAGGTCCGCAATTTCCCCAAAATGCAGAAAAGGCAAATAAAAGGTGACTGTTTTATCCCTTTCCATTACAGGGACTCAGAGTGTGTTTCAGGGCTGCAAAATGGTTTCTGGGGCACTCAGATGTTATGAAAGTTGCAGTGTAGGCTGTTTGCCACTGCTCCATAAAGTGCCCAGTTTTCTTCCCTGGCTCTTGCTCTCTGCACGGTAGAGCTTTCTTCTGGGGAAGAACTTGTGCCAGAGCTTGTCCTAACTGAGATGGGCCATAATAAATTGTCAGTGGCAAACAGTGCCATCGCATCTCAGGAGGGCGCTCTGCAAACTCCATTAGATCCCTGAAGGGCCCCCTTGGCTGGGATTGCTGAGCATTACACGTACAGGTGAGAGAGATGAGCGGGCAGCCTATGAACCTGAGACTTGCACTAGAACCCTAGCAGTGAATGTGCAAGTAGTAGGATTGGAAAGATTGCATAGAAATGTCTCTTCCCTCTCCTAAGACAAGCCACTTGTGATCATAATAGAAGTTGAAGCAACAAAGCAGTCAAAGTAGCCTGTTGAAGTAAAATTGAGCACTGGCGATGAAGGGATGGGTCTTGTTCTGTATCCAAGTGCCAAAGATTTCATAGTAAACTCTTTTGGTTTTCCTGCATGATAACCTTTTGCTACCATGACTGGATTCCTCTAAACTCTGTAGCCATCGGAGGAGGAAGAAGAGAAGAAGGAAGATGATCCCTATGCACATCTTAGCAAGAAGGAGAAGAAGAAACTCAAGAAACAGGTTAGATCTGGTCCACCAGAGTAGGCCAGCTGTTACCTCTACTATGCTTTCTGTGACTTTGCTTGACTACAGCCATAGCACACACTCTTGTTGTATACTCCCAGCATCTTATTTTCTTTCTCCCTCTGGATTTCTGTTTTAAGGGGTTTATGAAAGCTCTCATACAGAAATAAATCTCATTGCAATTGAGATTGGGAATCATCTCTGTGTTGTGGAATCTACCCAAAGTAGCCAAGGTGTAGGACAGGACGATAGATGACCCTGTCTTCTGGAAGGTGGAATGTGTCTGGTTAACTCCAGCTGTTTGTTGTCTGATACATTGGTCATAGGTTTCATTTCTTTTGATGTTGCCTGGTGTTTTATTTATAATTGTGGTTCCCTGCTTGGTTTATCCTCGATGTACATTGCCCGAAGATGCAATTATGTGAGGTGGGCAGTTATGTAAATCTTACAAAGAAATAATAGTATGGCATCTTTTGCTGTTTTAACTTTTGATCTTCAAGAGAGTTTGTCTTGGAAAGCAACATAATGTGTGAAATAGGCAAATGGCCTGACTGCGCCTTTCTTTGCTCCGTCAGCTGGAATATGAGCGGCAGGTGGCAACCTTGAAAGCAGCCAGCGCGGCGGAGAACGACTTCTCAGTATCCCAGGCGGAAATGACCTCAAGACAAGCCATGTTGGAAAATGCCTCAGACATCAAGGTACCCCAGTCTTATTTCACCCTCCCTTCTGAGTGGTAGCTCTTCAGCGTTCTCCATTTCTCTTACCCTCTTAATAAAATATATATAGCTGCATTTTATTTCATTCTCTCTTTGGGGTTGTGACTCAAGAGGGGGCTAAGAGGATCATGATAGTTTGGAGGATTGTAGAATTCTGCATGTTCAGGATTGTAAATAAATAAGGTTTGCTTTTTTTAAAGGCTTTTTTTTTTTAATGCTTTTAAACAGCTTCCTAAAAATTGACAACAATAATAATTTCTCATTTTTCTAAGCCTGTTTCTGTAAGAGTAAGTGCAGGTAAATTGTGAAATCTCTGCTTCGAATGGTGGTGTCCTGTGTTTTATCACAGATATCTTCCAAGCTGCTCCCCAAAATAACGGAAGCAGTAAAATGCAATCTTGGAATAATTGCTGAACCACCAGAGTACCAGGTAAG